GCTGCTACAGGGCTCTTTCATTAAACATTATGCCTGAAGAAGGCTTTCAGAAATAACAGTTGTTTTAGGAAGTACATATCCCTTGTTGCAGCACTGAAAATAGAAAGAAAAGAAAAAGTAAAAAAAAAAGGAACTGGAACCATATGAACAGAACTCTGTTGAAAAACGGATACTAGTAACTAAACCAATCATGTGACTGTCCTTGTAGAAAGAGGGAAAAAAAAAATCCCTGCAGTATTTAGATCATCTTCAAATTTTCATAATTTCTTAAGGCTATGCTTGTAGCAGAGCTGACTTACACTGCTGGGTAAGCCTGCATCGTTTTGGAAGAATGCTAACCTTTTTAAAAGAGAAAAAACCAAAATACAATAGCTTTGTGTGGAGTTAACGTTAAACTAGACACAAAAATAGCATCTCTCACTGCTTCCTTAGAGAGAGACAAAGCAGTCTTTTACAAAGCTGAATCACACACTAGGAAACTGATATGACTGGTTTCTCTGTTACACATTTACTTTAGTTTTGTTTTGTTTCAAATAACTGCCAAAGACAAGTGAATGTTTATTCGCATTTTTTCCGTTTTAAAACAAGTTCTCCTGAGGCATTGAACAGCACAAAAAAGAAGGTTCACAATGATTCCTAAGTGCTGAACAGCATTCCCCAAAGGGTGACCAAGGACATTCCATTGTTTTATATCCATCTTCTGCTTTTCAGTCATTATTCACTGTTCTCCCTTTCATCTGTAATGTAGAAGTTAGAAGACAGTCTGATAGACTGAGACAGACTACAGACAAACACTACTTCACATACAAGCCGCCTATATTGCACTTCCTGTGACCTTAACCAGGCTCAAAATCAGCCAGTAGGTTGGTCAAACTCACACCCCCACATAGTCCTTGACTGTCCCTCAGCACTGAGTAGTGATTAAAGGACTAAGTGAGGTTATCAAATTTTTCCCTTTGTGGCAGAAAAGATGAATTGTTTCCTATATTTAGATGGGGAAAAAAACCCCAGAAACCAAAGTAGGTATTGAACAGAAGCTGTTCTAACTTCTTGCCACTGGGCAGACACAGATCACAACACACCAGGTACTGCTTTTACCTCCAAAGAAGTATGCCTCTTGCTTGTGAAAACATTCTTTTGTTTTGCATTCCAGATTAAATATTAGTGTCTAAAGACCATTCAAAATGTCAGAAGCAGAAGTTATTAAAAGCAAGCACTATGATTTTGAGATTAAAAAATATTTACATCCTTGTTAAATTAAAGTTATGCCAGTATCATGAATTTAATATGTAAAACTGTTAACTCACACATTTAGAGATAATACTGTGCCAAATAGAAAATTACATCTCAACCCTAACATCTGCATTAGGGAATAATTTCATGTGATTGAATTAATTTCTGTCACTTGCCTCATTCCGTGAAACAGCAAAGTGTAAACCAACACTAAAACACCACACAGCCCTAGAAAGAGAATTTTCTGCTACTTTTACTTCAAAACTACTACTCAGCCACCATTGGGTCATGCCAATACCACATCCAGTATTGTGTAAAATAACCGCATAAATCATCTTCCACGTTAACTTTTAAATGTAATATATCAAGTTAATAATTTTTCATTAAAACCTTGTATGCAAAACCACAACAATATAAAATTGTTATCATGAAACAGCACTTCATTTTTATTATTTGTTTACCAGCCTTCTAATCGTCACTGTACAGTGCCAGCCATTACATAGATACTGTGTATCAGTAATAATATGGCTGAAAAATTACCCTCTTTGCCTACAGCTTTCTGATCAAGTTGGATAGCTTTCAAAAAAAAATAAAAATTACTCTGAAGTCTCCACATAAGATCCCTAAACAAATACCTCAGAGGCCTTATTTATTGGAATGAGTTTTCAAATGGCCAAGTCTCTGCATATTATCTTCAGTGTTGTTTTGGTACAAGTAAGGGTCACAAAGTCTTTCTGAAAAGGGTCAAACGGCCTTCAAGGGCTGACCAATATTTCTGTTTTTTAATAAAACAGCTTATAGAAACAGCAGCTGTATTTGTTCTAATCTAATTTAATACCATATTTAATATCATATGGGATAAGCAATGAACCCAATGAACTGCTTTTCAAGGGTTGAAGATGAAAGCTTCTATACTGAGTCAAGCTTAAAAGCAACCTACTCTGAATACTATACTTTCATATATTTCATGGAACTTTCCTAACTGCTTTCAGTTCACTTTACCCTATCCCGTCATTGCAGAAACAGAAATAAACATTACAAATTCTCATCACAGCAATAAAATAAATCTGTGCTAACTATATCACTGGTAGTTCTACAGAGTTTTTACAGAAGTGGACCTTGGGACAGTCTGCTTGATCACAGGAGCCAGACAATATGGTACCTTATGGTAATCATCAGAGGTATGGAAAACAAAGTACTAAATGGATATAAGGTTATTTTGCTGGATCAAAGTTGTTGAGAATATTTTTGAATAGGCAATACTGATAGCCATAAATTCCGGTGGAACAGCCATTATGTCCCTGCATTCTTTCACAACTGGACTGCTCTCAACTAACCTCTAACTCTTCTCATTTCTACCTTTCTCACCATAAATTCTTCAGGGTCATGTATCCAACTGTTGCTGCCTCATTTACAACTGGAGGACGGTCCACATCCTGCTTTCAATTAACTACTCACTAAATTGTTACTTTTAATTTTCTATTAATTGTATTGACTACCATCCCTTAAATATAAAAAGCTGTGAGAGACCTACAGGCCTTTCTTTCCTTATTGTTGGTCACTTCAAATGACTTACACGTATAACAGCTTATGACCCACACTGAACAACAGTGTAGTTCCACCGATCCCCATTCATACCAATGGATAGTACTATGCTGTCCAAACCCTATTTACCGGTAACTACAAAAATGTTTTCAAAAATGGAGAAATTTTAATAAAGCCATGTGAAGTCTCCACACCCTAGATTACCTCTGAAAATTATGAAATGCTAAAGCAGATCAATAGTTCATCTCACCAAAATGATCACTCAACCAGGAAATATAATTGAGTCTATGAAGGATGAGTCAATTACAGTACAAGTACACTTCCACAAACATGCATGGATTCACTGCCTTGCCTACTGTTACAAACAAACAAACTTTGTGTTAACACAAAAAAAAGGAAAGCAAATATGTTATTTGAGTCCTAAATTATATAATGGCCAGTCTTCGCGAGCGAAGATTTGGGAAAGGTCATTAACCCTTCGAGCCTGCGCAGTGGATTTTTTAGGTGAGACACAGCGTGCGCTGAACTGAGCCCACCCTTTAATCCTGAGGTTCATCTGCCGGGGCCGAGTGAAACTCGGACAGTGGCAGTGAGGGTCTCAGAACGTAGGTTTCTTTAGAGTGACCTTCTCTTAGATGGATTGCCTTACAGGGCTGACGAGCTCCATCTGCCCGGGGGGCCGGGAATCGAACCCGGGTCGCAGCGGTGAAAGTGCTGCACCTTAACCACTAGACCACCAGGGGCCCCGACTCTGAGTCCTAAATTAAGCGTTTGCTAATTAAGTTTGATAATCTGATATCAAATCCATACATATGCAACAGCTATTTGCACACAGTAACTGATTTTGTCTGAAGTTTTTAAAAATTCGCATTTAGCAGCGCTAAATATGAAATTTAACTTAAAGATTTTAATAAACTTCAAATACTTTGTTTCTCTGCTAACAAGTTTACTGAAGGTAGATGTTTTCTTTTAACACAGTTCTTCCTTACTGCTTATTCTATTTTCTTGTCAATAGCAATTGCAATGCTACTTGCGATGCAACGCTACTTGCAAAATGCCTAAAACAAAGAGGATTGATTTGATCTGCATTATTGGACAGCTTATGCTACATAACAAAAAACAGTAAAGTGTGATTTGCCAGGCTACTTTGTCCTATGCTTCCAAAGAAACATTATGAAATTTCACATCAAACATCATGAGATCAAGTGTAACTGTGCAATGCCTTTTTATAATTCATAGGGAACAGGCTGAAAAGAGTTGTACCTCAGTTTTTCACAGGTAAATATTACAGTTTTCTCAGGGAAAAAAATAAACATCTCATCCTATTTTGAAAACTGTTTTCCTTTCCATCTGTCGTAGGTGCATACTTTAAATATATATATTTCAAATCAGCATGAATTCTGAGAATTTTGCTGAAATTCTCAATTTCATGCCAGAATTAATAAACTGGGTAAAATCCCATCTAGACAACTACTAAAAGGCACATAATACTCTTTCCAATAAACTTCAGGATCTGATGGAAGAAAGCACACAAGCCACTCTGAACTATTAAAAAAAATTGGTATTAGATATTACTGTGACATATTTTATCATTCAGTAGTGTTGGTCTGCTGGGGATTTCTACCTTAAGTAATGTCAAGGTACTTAAATCAGTATTATATAAGATGTCCAGAGCTAACAGAGCTCCATCAACATGGTGTTCTGAGAATAATAGTAGCCAATATAACGTTCTGCCATGGCTAAGCATGTCTACGACTCTTTGGGGGAAAATCAACACATGAGAGTTTACTTTCAGCAGTTGAAACTAGGCTGTATAAGAGTCCCTAAATGCCCAAATCCATCTTCACTGCAATAAATAGCTCTGGTTACTCCATTCTTGTAAAAGAATTTGGGCTAACCGAGTGGGAGGAAAGAGCAACCATACTATGACATGCAACGAAAAATTAGACTGTCAGCAGAGTGACTCAATTACCAGTAGCTTTGTCAGCAGCAGTTGATTTAATTTGAACTTCAGCATTCCTGCAGCATCATTAATTAATCCACAAAACTGGAATTTCAAAGAAGTTACAAGGACTGCCCAACTAATTCTATGCTTACAGCATTGTTTAACTCAAATTAGAGATTTCTGTGTGGAAACAGGAGCAAGAGTGGAGTGATGGTTAGCTTTAAAAGACAAGCATTCGCAACAGTTCATGTAAAAGGAAAATAGTTTCATCTCTTACCTATCAGACCTTTCTCAAGAGTAAAGGATTTGTTTGTGAACATGCATTCAAATGCCACAATATGGAAAACTTTGTTCACTGTGTTGTGGGTCCCAACAATTCGAATATACCTACAGGGGAAAAAAAAAAAAAGGTAAATAGCACAAGTTAAACATGACAAACTTCTGTGCACTAAAATGTAACCGATTCAGTTGGACTAAAATGTGCAGACCTATAGGAACTGAGTAACTGTTTAAAAAAAGAAAAGGAGTAAAAAGACTAAAAATTTCACAGCAAGTTTGCATTTAATCGAGATGCTGGTTACACTACAATTTAATTAAAAAAAATCTTTAAAGAGATGTGAAATCTGTTAAAAATCGTTCTGGATTAATTTGCCAAGAAAAGTAAAGTGAGGGACCTTCCGCTTCAGAAATGGTCTGTTAGTGCATATGTGTCCTCAAGGAGGTTTTAAATAATAATAATAAAAATAATAATCCTTTCCCCAACAAATTTTCAGCACTGTGAAAGATTTCATACAGCCAGGACAAACACAGCAAATCAATCAGGGTTTTCTTCAGTAGCCAAAAATTAATTCCATTTTATTATGACTGTTTCTAATTCTAACACTCGGTATAGGATATCAATTTCTTTGTTGGTGTATCTTTTATTAATAATAATAAAAAAAAATCTCTGAACATTCAAACATTACGAAACAAAACTAACTCTAGGTTTCACTCCTAGTTGTATAACTTACACTTCTACACTCTAATTGCAAATCGAATAGAGCTGCTCTTGAACACTGTGACCTACTCACCTGCTGTATTACCCTAAAGGCTTCACCTTCCATGAGCAACCATTAACCTCAATTCAGTCCAATTCTGCATTTTCTGAAGAGACTCAACAGTTCTTACTATACTTTTTGAAAAATCTTAAAAGGAATATTGTACGCCATCTCAATAAATGCTGAGCAAGCAACACAGAAAACTACCTGAACCAAATACCACTACCCCACAAAATGGGTTACCCACACTGCAGAAAACTTTGTATGGAATTAACTCATTTCAATGAGTATCAGAATGTATGAATCTTAACCAATATCCTCGGTCTGTGGTATAAAACAATCTTTCACTTACACAGTATAATTATATTTCCAACATCATGGCCATTCCCCAACAGCATCGTTTTTGCTTGTGTTTCTCAATAGATCAATTTGAATCTGTATCAAGACATTTTTCAGTCCTGTGATTTTTTTTTTTTTAAACAATAAAGCAACCCTCATAGCTATTTAGTGTGCTGATGTTCAACCTCCAAATTTCATTTAGAAATTTTAATTATCATGACTTCTAACAAAAAGAATTAAATACTATTCCCTAATTAATATTAACTCATGGATCAATTAATTATCACAGTAGCAAATCTCCCGAAAATTATTCTGTGTAAAAAACATAAAGTAGCAAAATTGAAGAAAATATTTATTATTCATAAAGAAGTTGAACCTACGTCTTAAGAGTAAAGCAGAATTTAGCCCTTATTACATAACTGTGCCAAGTGCCTGCAAAGACCATCACAGGAATCTTGGTTGACAGTCAGGGAAACAGCAGTTCTTTCCCCAGACCTGCCCACGTGAACCAGATTACTTTCTTTTGTCAATTCACAAGCACAGGTAACCCTAATGAACGCTAAACACACAGGTAATGTCCAGGATTTGAGAAGGGTAACTGTTCTTGTTCTCTCCAGCCTCAGAAGCACAAAATTCAATTAAATACAGGAAAAATCTTGGAATATTTTTAAGTGTACATGGAGGCTGGCTTGCCACAGAGACTCCCTCGTCTCTCTCAGGCAAGAAGGGTATTGACTGAGTTGTGCTGCTTGGACAAAACACACTCCCGGCTAACCAACAGAGCATTACTAATGGAGAGATACTTTGACATCCTTCAGTTATGCTTCCTTGCTTTAAAGAGTTTAGAGAATAAACAAAGTAACAATATTAATAGGAACACAAGAAACTGCTTCATAATTAGCTTTAAAACTGATTTGTTTGGTTTTTTCATGTTATGAGAGCAAACTTCTTGATTGCTTTTTTCGGTGAGATCAGAAATTGTTCAAATTCCTGTCATCAGCAAAGCAGGCTTATAAAACACAAGGTTATCTATGAATCTGTGTGTGATTGCAGAATCACAATCCAATGGCTGGACTAGCTCCACTGTTAATGGACTTTAGACTCAACTGCTAAGACTGAAGGGAAGACCGAAAAAAAAACTCTGAATCATTCTTTAAAGAGAAAACCTTGATCAGTTCATGGTGTTTAAAAGTACTTCCCTGGCAGGTGAACAGAAATGCAGCATGATAATTTTGCCCCTTTATTTTATTTTCTGGCCCTGTTTGAGAATAACGGATACTGAAAGTATAAATGCTATAGGAGTTTCACCTACATGTCACAGATTTCTCTGGCCACAGTTAGTCATGCTACACATGGTCCTAAAATTCCCAGAATGGGAATACCAAAATAATCTGGTTGGGTTTGGGGTTTTTTTTCCGCACTTACAAGAAAATTGTTTTAACTAGAGGGAAAACAGTATGTTCTACTGGAGCTTGGTAGAATTTTAAACTTCTAAAATTTGAATGGACTCCCTGGGTTGATTAATTAGGCACCCGCATGGCAATGGCCCTCATCTATCTCCCATTTTTCCCAGAGCAATTCTTCACATTTACACAAAACTATGACATGTGTACTCTGTTGTGGCCACAAATACTCATGTTTCTGAACAACTAAATTATGTTTTACTTCTGCTCTTTACATTTGTACAGCTGACACATTTAATTCAGATAACATCTGCTGCAGAGCATACCACTGATTCAGCTGTGGATACCCTGGAGGACTACCAATACCAAAGCTCATCTGCCTACATCAGAACAGTGCTTAGGACATATGTGTCAAAATATAAAAATATGCATACTCTAGAGGTCATTTTAATGCTTCATTATAATAACGCCAGTAAGATAGAGACAAACTCTAAAATATATTAAGCACAGATTCCAATCTGTTGAGAATATTGAGACAGAAGACTAAATAAGGAGAGATAATGGAAACTAACCGGTATTTTGCACTGATACCCATTCTAAGTTACTATAAAAGCAACCTAAGAACAGCAACAGCAAACTCAAAGAACTAAATCAAATAGGTAAAAAATGTGCTCTTATGAACTTGGCATTCCATTTTCCTTCATGGAGCATTTGGTATGAGACACCAGTGCTAGTCCTACATACTTTATACCTCCCCTAACTGCTTAAAACCCACTAACATTCACATTCCAGTCACTGCCACAAAGATGCATGAGGTACAGCCTAACACACAAGGGCATTTGAAGATATTCTGTTTGTCTTTTAGTGGAAAAGGAAACAGTGCTATTCAACACCATCTAAACTCCATTTATTGACAACTCCCTAAAACGTATAATCCTTCAGGCTCACACAGCTGAATCAACAGTCCCATGGCAGGAGGACAGAAAAAACAAGGAGGAAAAAAAATCTATTGCCAGCATTAAATCATGTGGCAAAACAGTGAACGTAAATAAATATATAAAATAAGGAATTAAGCCAGAACAAACTTGAAAAGCATATCTGTCTTTTGACAGAAGACAAGTTTTCCCACTCTTAGACAGGAAAGTCTAGTAAAGTCTATAGCATAACAAAGGAAATCTCTGCTGCAAATATTGAAAGCAAGAATGACAAATCAAACAAAAAACTTACACAAGACAAAATCATTGAACTCTAGCAGCAAAAGTACATGTAACGCCTGCAAAGCCTGTACAGTAACAAACATTTTCACCTCTGCAATTAATGCAAATACAGCCAACAGGGTAGCAGTCTGAAAACACATTTCTCTTTGTAATGTGCTAAAACGTGCTTCCAGATATTTCATGGTAGAGCATTCAAGTGGCTAAAAATATTGGTATGCAATACTTAGACAGCACATGTAATTGCTTGTGTACTGTACATAAGCAGTATATCAACCAAGCATCCAATGTTTCTCAACATATTTAACCAAATTAACACTGATGTGCTTTGGAACATAAGTGAGACTTGCACAGTCTGATATTTTGTATTCCACAGGTAAGAATAATGAGCTTACGAATGTTTTGTTTTTCATTACTGGTTTCCAATTTTTATTTTTTTACAACAAAAAACCCAAATTCAGAAAAATTCACTTGCATGAATCTCCATCTTCACATTGCACGAATCTCTAGTTCCACTAAAGTTGTCAAATCTGAACTTGGCTTGCCTGGTTTTGTTTCAGGTCAGACCTCAACCCAAAATAGCTCTATTTCCTAGAACTCACCTACATATGGGCAGAAATCTGCAATTACATCTGATCTCATAATGGACATGAATAAAAAAACAAGGTAGAAGAAGATAGTAAGACTTCGATGTAAAGAATTCTGCATTTAAACCCTACCCTTGATTCGACTTTGCAGCCAAACACAAATATCACCTTCATTTATCTTTATGCTACCTTTGTTGAATACATAAAATGGGACTCTAATAAATTCAATTTTACAGAAAAAAAGTAGCTCTTACAAACAGAGAAGAAAGCATTGTTCCTCAGAAGGTCTGGTTCTAGCCCAAACTGGTCACAGGATTTAGAGAGCAGACACAAGCTGGCTCTGCTTACCTTCCAGGCTGGTGTGACATGGAGACAGATTCTTTCCAAAATACAGATAACCTTCAACAGGATTAGTTTCCTTTGAATCATCCTATGTTCTGATGTAGTTTCATGACTTTGGGTCAATTTAGCTTAGGCTTCAATATACAGATACATTACAGCCTTCACATTTTTAAACATATTGAAGAAACAGAAGAAAATACAGGATAGTCCTGCTCAGTGAAATCTGAGAATGTTTTCCATTTTCCCCAGCTTCTCACGTTCAACCAGTCTGAGATTTTAGCATGCAATAATTACTTCTTGCTCCAAAGATAATACAGTAAGTGCTGTCTAGATCTAGCCTGGAATCAGACTATATACAATATGACAAAGAAATACTTCAAAAGTATTAGAACAATATATCCAATGATATATGGAAGAAACCCTACCATTTACTACATTGAAATTATACCAGAAAAGTACTAAGCAATA